AAACAGTTATGTAGCAGAAATGATTTCACTTTTAAAGTATATTTGTGAACCGACTTCAATTATTTAATGTATTTTGGCAATGTCAAGTAACATACATGTATTGTATGTGGATTTTTGATAGTGAGCTGAACTGACACTTGATGAACGTGATTTTTACAACGTGTGTTGTAATTATAAATATCAGTATTCCATGAAAATATATTCTCACCGTTAAGTAAGTCAATTTTGACAAATATTACAGATTCGTAAATATATAGCCAAGGCAGTGGTAAGATTCAAAGTTCAATGAAGAGAGGCTTGCAAGAGTAACGCGGATGGCATTTTTTCATTTTTTCATTATGTGAATAATTTTCTTTTGCACTCTAAAGGTCTGAGTACAACATAATGAGTTTCCCCAGAATTTTATACCATATCTCAGGCGGGAATGTACATTTGTAGAAAGACACCCAACAAGCTGCATTTGAAAGAAAGCTGACAGAATTTGAAAGAAATCTGAATGTGTAACATAATGAACTTAATTTAATGTTTAATTTTGTTATTCGATTATTCCATTTAAGGTTTGACTCAATTGAGAGTCCTAAAAATTTTGTTGCCTGATCATCAGCTAACTGCATATTATTCATTTTCAATGGAGCGTGCGATTGCTGATTTGAAATGCAAAAATGCATTGAAACTGTTTTCCTTCATTAACTATTAATTTGTTATTACAAAACCAATTTTATATTTCTTAAATTATACTAATTATTGTTTCTTTTTTGCAAAGAAATTCGTGTCATCGGAAAACAGAACCGTTCTTCCATTTTTAATAGACGACAGCATATCTTTTACGTATAACAGAAAAATATGACATAAGTTCGAGCCTTGCGGGATCCCACATTCAATTGGTAAAGAATTGGAAAGATAAGTAAATAATGTCCTTTCGTACCAGTACGGTATTTCTACTCTTTGAGATCGATGATAAAGGTACGAGGTTATCCAATCTAGGGCGATACAACGAATTCCATAAGAAGGTAATTTTGATAGCTAGATGTTATGGTCAATTACGTCAAAAGCTTTCGAAAGATCTAAAAATATTCCAATGGGTGCTTCATTTTGCTCCATTGATGAAGCAACATCTTTAAGAAAAGAAAAAATGGCAGTTTCTAAACCCGTGTTGTGAGTCTGAAAACCCTTTTTTTCTGAGAAAAGTTTCCATTCGCGTATAGAAAAGCCCCTTAAAAGCAATTTCAGAGAATCCTGACAAAAAAGAAATTGGTCGATAATTTTAAATTTCATTTTCGCTCCTTTTTTTAAAAAAATGGCTTAATTTTCGCTGTTTTGAAAATATCTGGAGATACTCCTGAGCATAAAGAAGCATTGAAAATGTGAGTTAACAGGTGTATAAAGGCTGGTACACAAGTTTTCAATAAACAATCTGGAAATTCATCGAAACCACATTAATATTTATTTTTTCATTTACTGACTATTCGTAAGATTTCGTTAGAAGAAGTTTGGGAATAAAAATCGTGTCGAAAATTTTTTGTGAAGGTAATGATGTTGAATTTTGCGGTTTTAATTCCTTTGTGAGTTCAGCCGCAATTCTAGAAAAGTGTTGTTTGAAGAGATTTGCCACTTTTTCCGGACAACTGGCTTCTCTTTCATTATCCTCTACTAAGACACGAGATGATGTGGCCTTATTTTTTACGATATTCCACATTGCTTTCGTTTTTTTACTAGCGTTCAAAATATCATGATTATTTTTCATTATTTTTATCGGATGACAGAAAATAACGAACGGGTTAAGTGTGATCTATGAACTCGAACTTGCTTCCTGCGAATCTTCCCTTAAAATCAATGAGAAAAATTGATAGTACAAGGGATGATATGTATCTTGACGTGCTTTGTTCTATCAATGCCTGCTCAGAAACCGAGCTAGTCCCAGGGACCCAGATTCAGCAGTACGTCGAACGCATCGTCAGAGATGATCACGGGATGATTTAAAGGAGGTGAGGTGGCGATTTTACTACGCAAAAGAGAAAAAAGGGGGGCTCAGAAATAGACGTTTTCAAGATATGGATAGAGCGGGATCCAGATTTGAGGCCTACCCTAGATTCAAATAAGCTTGCCGGTCAACGACGATGTAATAGTGGAAAATTCATAGCAAAACGACTTGCTGACCTGAAGGGAAATGCAGAGTTCCTCGATCGATCGAATGCAAATGTTCCTCGGTCGAACAATTCAAAAGACAGGGGGATATATAGAACCATGTAATATCCCTGAAAAGAAAGGTTCTGTTGAAGGTTCATCTCTACCCAATGAAACGTCCGTCAGTGGTTAAAGTTCGTCTGGCCATGAATCTCACGATATAGACATGAGGGGAAATCTCCTTCGACACGACCTAGAAATGAGTTCATCTCCTTCCATTCGAATCTCGTGTACCGTTGAGGAGAATATACTAAAGCTAAGTGAGTGATAGGCACAGCGAATTCTGACTTAAATGATGTGGTGCAGACCCCAGCTACAGATCTAGATATCAATGAAATCAATCACATCGTGTATGCATCTGGATCTCTGGTATCTCAGATAATTTTGGGGCCTGTCAAGAACACCGTCGGCCGACAGCCAAACTGAGTAAACATCCTCTCCGTGTCCGGGTGGCCAAAAAGAATTATGAATCGCAGAGCCGACACGGCGTGAAATATCACTCGACGAGGCATCTTCTAAACAAACGCACACCTATAAAGTTCAACGAAAAATACACCATGTTGGACAACAATACCAAATTAAAAATGTCACGAGGGTAATTGTAGCTGAGAAGCAAGAAGAAAGAATTCGACCATGGTCTAAGCGCATTGAATGTCACAAATGGAGAGTGGTTTTTTCCTGTAGAGAATCGGTTGTTTGAAGCAGACGCGAAGATATTCTATCGCAATCTGACTAAAAAAATTGAAGGATAATGCTATCCCTCACTCATAAATTTTGGGCAGGAATATGGAAAGAAAGCAGATCCTACAACAAAGGCGCATCTTGACTGCAATCTGAAGTTGATGCTCCCGATGAACTTATGGAAACAGTGGAACAGGTTCACGAATTTTCTTGGTAGAGGACCTCTTTCAAGGAATTAATAACATAGGAAACTCGAAATGGTGTCATTTCGAAGACTTTAAAGTACTGAATAGAAACGCTCGGAATTAAAAAGAGTACCGACTTCACCCTCCAGAAATCTGTTCCGTCTATAGATAGTTGCAACATTAAAAGTGCATATTAAATACAGGATAAACGGCTCGAGAAATAAATAGAAAATAAAGGGTTAGGTTCTCAGTATTGATATTTTTGATGAGTTCACATACGATCATTGCGGTCGGGAAGGCACATGTTCGCGTAGCTTGTACTTTAAGTGACGTACCGCATCTGCGATAATGGGTTTCATTCTCATATAAACGTTCCATATGCTATACGTTAAGAAACCTACAAAATGAAACAATTTCGGCTCACTGCAGCACACCTGAAATAGCACGGTTTTCTTCACGAGTGGATTTCTCATCCAAGTCTTACAATCATATTTCACAATTGTTCAGAAGAGGGGAATCTCTTTCGAATTGTTCACGATAGACCTACTATTTTGTACGTTTGTTGACAATAAGCCTCCTTTGTTTACACCGCAATATGTACGTTCTCCGGCTTCGTGTCGTCGCGGTCTCATGTGATATATTTTTGAAGAGGGGCAGGCAGGCGTTTTCCAGTAGCTTTCAACCCCCCACAGTCGGTTGACATAGTCTATCCTACACTAATGGCGTGTAAGTACATGGAGGGATTAATGTTGGAATATTTTGCAAACATCGTACACTAAGATGAACTGTACCTATCATGTTGAAGATCTACGAGCACAATTATTGAAGATTGGTTGTTTCTTCTCCAGAACAGTTAAACTGATTAAATAGGAACTTTGTTACAACTTCGAAATTTTGAAAATAATTGTAAAATGGAGGGGAAATTATAAGATTAGTGTATTTATAAGAAGAATTTAAAAGAAAATAGGACGTCTTGGTGATGGAGTGTTGATGATAAGAGACGCTTGTGAAGGACGTGTGAATACGCACATCGACGTGATATATAGGAGAGATCCCTTGGGTGGCGTGTGATAGATGAAAACCTGAAGTGGTTTTTATCACATTTTTATGACATTTTTCTTTGTTTTTAGGGCATTTTTAAGCATTTTAAGAGCATTTCATTGATCATTTTTGGCAATGTTTTAGGCCATAAAAATCCGCCCTCATCAATGACCTTCGGCACGCATTATTACCTTCATCCAGGATTTAAGTAGTGTGGGGCCTCAAGCACAAAATTCTGTTGCCCCCCCCCCCGAAAAAATAGCTCCATCTTTATTAAATAAAAAATGTATTATAGTACAATTAAAATGAGGTTTGCATAAAAAATTACATATTCAGTTATAAGTAAAGGAAATAAAGTATAGTTAATATTAGACTAATTTATATTATACTAAGACATGTAATAAATATTTTTAAAAAATGTTTTGAAATTGTACATTTTGTTACACAGTAGACTAAAAATTATTTCACAGACAAAAAAATATGGTATGCGTATTTTTTCAAAACGCGGGGCCCCTGGTGAATGGGGGCCCCCAAGCAACTGCTTGTTTTGCTTGTAGGTAAATCCGCCCTGCCTTCAACAAATAAGTATCAACACGCAATTACTTTCGTGCACAGCGCACTGTCCATCGCCATTAAAATGTTGGAAATCTGTAGCAGAGATAATTACATCAACCTACAACACTCAAAGCATATTTCAATGGTCAATGTTGAAAACCGAGTTCGACGTTAATAACAACCGCTTCCAATAATTACGTCGAAAAACTTAGTTCAGTAACCGTATTCAACAATAGCGTCTGACAACAACCACATCGGACAAAAACCGCATGCGATGTCAGCCTCGCAGGCTAACGCATGTGAACATTCATTAAAAATAAAAAGTTAAAAAGATATCAACCGTGTCCTATTCAGGCGGACATCAACGGCGCCGGACAACCACCACGTCTCACAACAATAACATGTCACAACAACCGCATTCGACAACATCCGCGAATGTCACCAACCACGTCGAACGTCCAACAACAACAACAACAACAACAACCTCGTTCTACAACAGCGTCCATCAACACTTAAAAACCTCGCCCAACCACAACTGTGTGCCACCACAACAGCGTCCGCGTTGAACAACAACCACGTCTGACTGCAACGGCAACTAGCATGAACCTCGTCGGACGAAACCCGCGTCAAACAACAACCACCGCCGACAACCAGCGCATTAATCGGCGTAGGCGCCGTTTGCGCGCGGCGCCAGCACCCGCGCGCGGCTGGTCGCGCGCCAGCGGCTGGCAGCGCCGCCCTCGTTAGCGGCGCGTCAGGCGGAGAGCGGGCGCGGCTTACGAATGCGCTGACAGCGGCGCGATATATCGGAGGAGCCCTGCTCTCTCGACGCCTGCAGGCCCTGCGGCGGCGGGAGCCAATTGGGTTGTGGCAGAGGTGCTCCTGATTGCTGGCGGCAATGCTTATTTGTTTGTTGGCGGCTTTTGCGGCCGTCGTTATTAAACAACGATGTAAATACCCGTTGTCGCTTGAGTCGGTGGCAATTCAATAAGCGCTATTGTCATCTGTCGCGTTGCTTTGAGACGGTTGTCGTCAATCGTGATTGCCTTTAAAGTGAATGACGAAGTCGGTAGTCAGTGAGTGCGGGTGTAATATAACAATTTTGCCCGGAATACTCGTCGAGCTTTTCGTTGATAATGATAGCGGCAAAAATTTTAATGTAGGAGATTAGGAGATCGAAGTCGTTAATGTAGATCTTCGACATTCTGACAGTGGTTAGTAAATGCGGAAGTACTTCAGCGCATCCCGCAATAGACATGTTTTTGGGAATGATGATGATGATGATGATAATAATAATAATAATAATAATAATAATAATAATAATAATGGTATAGCCCAAGTGATAATCATAGGAATATACAGTATATTTCAGTGATTGCAAGGGAAGAAGTGAGGAGCCTGACAATAGCAGTGGTGGCGGCTGAGCAGGCGATATTGAGGAGGGAAGAGAATGTGAAGCAGCGCGGAGGCGGAGGAAATGGCGCGGGCGTTGGCGGAGAGCGCGCTGCCGCTGCCGCTGCTGCTGCTGCTGCTGGCGGCGGCGGCGGCGCGCGGGGGCTGTGGTAAAAAACGCCGTCGGCGGCATATTTCACTTCGCCCGCGCGACTAGTGCCATAAGCTGTCGAGTGCTGTCAGGGCGTCCGCCGCGGCTTCATTAAAGTGATTCATGCGGCCGCCACAATGCCGCAGCACCGCTGCCTCCGCCGCCGCCGGGCTATATTTACCCGCCCGAGGAGCCCAAGTCGCGATATGGAAGAATGTTCAGATCGTAATGGGGTGGGTGAATGACTTTTTTTCCTGCTTTGCTTGCTGGCTCCTGAAGGAGGGTGCTTTATGAAAGGATGCGGGGTAGGTCGGGGCTGTTCATCACCTCTCTTACTTTGTCAGCTCGTTTGTTTCTTTCTCTCCTCGGCATGATCTACATCTTTATCATATTCACGCACAAAGAACAGAGAAGTGTGTACAAACACCAGAGCAACACACTATTCTTTGCGATAGCAACAACTCACTCATTCTGTCACGCTTTGATTTTAACTGATTTACACACACACACACACACACACACACACACACACACACATACACACACACACACACACACACACACACATATATATATATATATATATATATATATATATATATAATTTCAAGATCTGAATTCCCAGGATAAATTGAATTACTTACATTTATTTTATGTTCTTTTACTGAACTACTTTATCTAAAATTTCTTATTAATTAACACGGTTATTAATTGATTTCTTGCATGAATAAAAAACATTGCGTGCTGATTCAGATGGCATACAACTGAGAGGAAGGTAGTTTATAAACAATCTTGCGATAATTTTACTGCAACGTAACGATGTGCTCACAGGGGGAGCAGGGGGTCCTTGACCCATAATAATTTTGAATGGGGCCCGTTGCCTTGTGTATTAAAATATTTTATTTCATTAAATTTGTTCAATCCTTAATCCCTCCCTTTACTTAATTTGCCAATGCGAAAATGTAACCCTATAAACGGTTCAACATAAAATACAGTGCGTTTTTTAATTGTACAATTTAAGTTATAATTTGATTCTCCTTGCAGGATGTTTTATGTATTTTCTAGTAAAATATGGAGATGTTTATAGATAATCAATTTTAAAGGTAAAGGAGACCCAAAACTTTAGTTGCCCCTTTACAATGTAATATGAACACGAACATATATCATTATCTATTGATATCCTGAACTAATAGGTTCTTATTAGTTCCTACATTATCATTCTGGTAAATGCCATTTCCCACAACAACTCATTCATTAGTATGAACTTTCAGCATGAAACGCTGACAGGTACAAGTTCTCATCTCCGTAGTAAGTAGTCAAAAATTTGATTTACTTACTTCATGGCGTTCCAGAATATTTTTTTCTCGTTTATAAAAACAGTTTATTAGTATTAAAATTTAAGAAAAGTGCGTTGAATTTACATCTAACGCAACGGCTCTTTTTCTCCGTCTGTTACTTTGTGGATTACGTTCCCCACGCAAAAATTAAGCCTTGCGCAAATTCCGTAACTAATCAGAAGCGTCCCCTCTGAAGTCAGTCACACTTACTCCCCACGCCACTCCGAGTTCCCGCGGCTGTCTCTTCTCTAACACGCCTTAAATTTACGCCTCCTTCTCTCGAATTTCAACACATTTGTCATTTCAACGCCCTCGTCTCCCCCCTGGGAGCGCCTCCGTAGGAAAGCAGCGGCAGGTACGGGGACGAGTGTTTTTCTAGGTCCAACCAGACAGCACATATTATTGCTCATTAGGCCGGCGACAACGCCGCGTCCTCACCCTTCTTTGTGGAGGTTTCGAGCGTGTAACACCAGCGACTCGAGCCGCGCGGCGCCTTCGCTTTTTACGCGCGCCCCGCCGGTGGGTTTGGAACGGCGCGGTTTTTTCTAGCGGCTTCTTCGGTCACGCTGCCAAGTTCCGTAAAGATCCCGCCCGACACATGGCGACAGAGCGCGTCGCTGACGCGGGCGCGTTTGTATCTTGCGCGCTTCTGGGAAACCGCGCTCCACAACGACGGCTGTAATTGCCCTCCGCGCCGTAGGAACAAGTAGATCGAGGCAGCGATGGCGGTCGGCGGCGGAACTGTATCCGCGCGCTGGCGGAAAGCGGGCGGGCGTGTTATCCGGCATTGCGTGCGATAAGGCGCATTGGAAACACGGCGGCGGGCGCGGGCCGCGCCAGGCATCTGTTTCATCTACGTCGCCGCGGAATAAAACAGAGACCATTAAGGGGCGCGATAACGAGTTTTGAGTCTGTTTCCGGCGCCGGGCCTCTCATTACGGAGACCAGTAGCGGCCGCCATGGGTTTCCATTTCCATACAAGCGCCATGGGGACCGCGAGGTGACGCGGGGGATAACATCTGAGGGCGGGGATGGCGCTGTCGCCGCCGCCTCAGCCGGCGACGTGCAATGGCGGACACGGCGGCCAGCGCCCACCTGCACCAGCCACCGCCGGTTGCCTCGTTTCTTCTTGGCTGTCTGGCCGATCATTCAATCCTTCAACACAGGATCTGACCGGTGTGAGCCAGGTTGCTTTCTAGCTCTATTTAGACACGAAAGGAATAAATACATTAAGTAATGTAGGATTCAGAATTACATTCATTACTATTTTGGCAGAGGAAGTACAATGAATTTAGAATTCATGAATGTAATAAATATTATTGCACATACTATTGTTAAGTTATATCAGGAGTTTAGTATGTTATATTATTTTACTTATTTTGTATTGTAATTGATGTAGCAATTTTGTTTTTTGGGAGCGTAAGGTTTTGGGTTATATTCAATTTCGTTCGGGTCCTAGAAAGGTAGGTATTATAGGAATTCTTCAGCCTTTTGTTGATGCTATTAAAGTGTTTTGTAGGGAGTAGACTTTTATCCTATAATATCTAATTATTTAATGTATTTTTTTGTTCGGTGGTTAGATCAATTTTATCTCTTTTGGTATGATTGATTTATACTCTAGACATGTATCGTGGTATCATTTGATTTGGCATTATTATTTTGTTGTTGTACGGAAATAGGAGTACATTAAATAATATTAGATGGACACGGGCTCGAGCCACAGAAGCTTACGTTTACATATGATTCCTTGTTTTGCAGGGAACAGTTTTCAAATGCTGAAAAAAAAAAACAGAAATAGTCTTGCCATTCACCGACGTACAATTTTCAACTTTGCTAGCTTAGAGAAGTCTTTGTAAGATGGAAGATTATAGTTCTGCGTGTTCTACGGTTTATAGGCGATTCCACAGAAAGAGATGGTCTACAACACGGAGAACTATGCGTGATAATTTAGATTGTTTATCTTGTTGATAGACAATATTTCAATGCCATTCACTTTTCTAGAATGCAATTTCAACTAGCGGAACTTTGCTCTTCGTACGTAGTAGGCGATTTGGATGCTGCAACTGCAGTATTTCCAAGGACACAATGAACTCAAGATATCTGTACTAAAATAAATAAATAACAACATACGCTAGATAAAACAAAATATTATGTAGTATATGATTTTAATAATTATGTTAATTAAAATGTTGTAGTTAGGGTTAAATGTAAAATTATTTCCTATAGATTTACCTTTATAATTGATCAAAACAGCGTATTGTTATTAGTCACACGTAAACTGTCTCTGTATCACAGCATGCGTGTATGCATTTGTCATTTTAGGGTGGGGTTACTTTCAACTTTGCCAGTTAGCGGTGTTTCCAGCCCTGGGCCCTGTATATTATCCACGGCGAGGGGTAAGAAAGACATGTGGCAACCATGACGTATTCCAATCACATTCCATCCCAACAACAAAGGCAACCAAAACATTATTTGCTCAACGATTGCAAAGCAGAAGTGACTACTAGGAAGATGAACCTCCTTGAAGTTCCAATAAATAGCTTTTACGGTAAAAGCGATTTTGAAAAATTTGACAAATAGGAAAATTAACACTTAGCAGGGGGTAAGCATATAAAATAATTCCGAAGCAAATAAAC